GACCTTGGTACCAGAAGGACTAGACCACAGCCAACCATTCTAATCAAAGCCACAATCGATGGATCCTACTGGAATGAGGTGAGTCGTGGTGGCATAGTGGTTCTGCATTGGGCTGCCATCCTCAAGGTCAGCAGTTCTAAACCACCAACAGCTCCAAGGGAGAAATATGGGGCTTTCCACTCTCATAAATAGTGACAGTCTCAGAAACTTAGTCAATCAGTAAAATAAAAGGGAAGTCATGGGACAGTTCTACTCCGTCCTATAGGGTCGTTATGAGTCAGCATCAACTCGATGGCAGTGAGCTTGGTTGGGGGTTTGGAATAGAATGGAAGGCCAATGTGGGACAGAACTCGGTTAATTCTTTGAAAGTCCAGACTTCCTAGACTAGAGAACTCCCTGAGAATGCTGCCCTAACCCACTCCTTAAACCTTAAACACAACCTGCAATTCAAGCTCGTCAGTTCTTCCGTGGTCTTGCTTACGCATTGTCCAGCTTTCATGCGCACAAGAGACTGTTGGAAACGCCGCGGCTTGGGGCCGGGGGCCTTTAGGCTTCCATGACATTCTCGCTCTGTGTCACCTTAAAGAGGTCCCGTGCAGCACGTGTCTCCAGTGCAATACGCTCTCCGCTCTCCGTTTTGTCTATGGACTGCTGGCTCCGTGGGCATTGATTGAGGACCCGGTGAAAAGAAACCCTTCACAGCTGCCATCTCTCCTCCAGGTGCTGCCACGGCGCGTGTGCTGGCCCCGTGGTGAAGGACACTAGAGCGCTGGCAATGGCACCCCCAGCACAGAACGCCTGAGAACGACGAGACAATTCAGGAAATGTCGCCAATAATCCTCTGGGACGATCTGGACAGATCATCAAACCCAACTTGCTGTGTCGACGTTCACCTCGAGCCCAAGAAAACAGCCTTTTTTTCCCCAGAGAAGAATCATTGCAGTGGGCACCAGGTATTTTACATCCATGGGTACATAATAGGACCACTAATAAGATCAACTCATTGTTCTCTTGTGTTTTTT